TTTACTTTATTGTTATAAAAAAAAGTTAATTTTCCGTATCGTTTTTATATTTTGTGACTATAATATGCTTCTCTAATATTTAAAGACGTCTAACGAAGTTTTGGATAACTTCTGTTGTAGTTTGAAAAGTTTCCACAGCTAAGATATTCTAGAGTGTTTTATCTTCCTGATATGCAGATACAAAGTCTACTTGATCCATGGCCGTAGGACCCCCCCCCCCCCCCCAATTATTTGCCGATATATAGAATACTATAGAAAACATAGCTAGTATATGCTTGTGTGCCCTCAATTATAACGTCTGATGACCTTTTTTGTCAAGGAATTTTTGGTAGTTGATACCCCCCCCAACTGAAAATGTATGGTTGTGCCCCCCCCCCCCCCAACTGAAACTGCTTCCTACGGACCTGTGATCACTATGTTTATTCTTAAATTTCATTTTTATTTTTTAATCTTAAATAGAATTTAAAAACATATTTTATAAGACATACTTTTATAACACAAGTAAAATGATGAGAATTTGTCCAACTCATAATTAGATAATTTTCTGTGAACACAATATGTCTTCAAAATATTGTATATCATCTAACCTATCGTTCGAAACGAAGTTTCTCTCTCTCTCTTACTCTAATGTGATAGAAAATCTGTTGTTTCCAGTGTATATAGAAGAGAAACATAGCATCTGCATTAAATGCATTATCATAGCTTAAATTCAAACAATTCAAACTTTCTGAAATCAATAATCATCAGCAGAAATTCATTAACAGAGAGGACGAGAGCACGGACTACCCGGAAGTTCAGTATTATGTCATTCAGCCCGGGGCCCAGAATGTTGATGTGTAATAGTAACAGAATCTCGGACATTGCTATACACGATGTATAGGCCCTAAATATAACAAAATGTTTCTCGGAAATGGGTTTAATAAATATCACAGAAAAGGTAATATTCTATTTTATTTAAAATTTGATTGTACCACTTTTTTTCTCTTTGAAAAAAGAAAGGAAAATTCCTCCCTAAATATGTAAAATGGAGATAAAGTTTTATTGTGTGATTTTGAAATGTTACGCCAGCAAAGTATATATCAATCATGTATTTTCTTTATGATTTGTAAAAAGTTGTGTGTTTATTATTTCGAATCACTATCCATTTTTTTTTTTTACCAAATGAAGGCACGGGTCAAAACACAAAGACGTCCTTGGAGAGGTCGTGATTGCGTGTTTTATTGCATGGTGGCAACCTATTTGACTTTTGCATTTGTCTTTGTTATCCAATATGAAAACCTTACAACAACCGTTTCTGAGGATTTCGGGAACACATTTCCATTGCCTAATGAGAGCCAAGACGTTCAGACGCCCTCCGAGCTCGATGAATTGGCACTTCTTTCCAGAATTCGCCAAAGACCAAGGAGTGTTCAGGAAGAACCTCCCGATAATGGATTTCAAATTCCAGCTCCATCCAGGATGACATCGACTACAAAAAAGTCTAGATGATTGCTATTGTAAATAGAATTTGGCTTATCGTTCAATTTGATGACAATAAAATAAAAATAATTAACAAAAAGTGATGATAATAAATCAAATGTATGTAATGTGAGTACTTGTATGTTTTTCTTTCTCAACGTTTGACAGAGATATTCTGTTTGTCTGACTGATTCAGTGATTGGTATGCATAGATTTTCTTTTGCTTGAATTTTTAAAATTCATATATAATGAGCTAAACCATGGCCTGTTTCATCAAAAGTTTACAGTATAAATTACTGCTTACGACCAAAAACTTTAATTAAATGTAAAACATAGTTTATCTGATAAATATAGTTTCACATTTAGTGAAATTATGGCTAAAGAATGCTTGTTTATGACGATAAATTTCTGTTTACTATAGTTACGTCCAAAAATATAATTTACAAGTGTAAAACATTTTAAAAGTGACTTTGTATATTTTACTTTGATGTTTCAGCATCTATACGTCGTCGATATATCTAGATGTCGAGTTGAAGGCCACAGCAAGTGTTTTCTACTTCTCATGTATTAATTTTTGAATAAATTCTGCTTCATGTGAATACAAAAATAAGTCTTTTATAAAATTAACGTTCAGCGCAGAGATAATTTCCTGTATTGAGAATTCTTCCAAAATTAATGTCATCCAGGTTTTCTGTTGATGTTGCAATGTCAGTTTAATACCCTGTCATTGGTTATCGTTAGAAATGTGGAAGGAGTTTAAGGAAGTGAGATGAGATAGTTTTGGTTTTAGAGAAGAATTTTAGTGATCGAGTTACATGTAATAATTTGAATTGGACGATAAAGATTGGAAGTCAGCATGTAGTGACGAGTCTTATTGGAGCATAAACCTATAGTTGTCAAAGACTATTTGATAAATATACTTCACAATTAGTGGAACTGTTATTTACAACTTGTACCTTTACGAATGAGAATTCATAGTTATCAATAAAAAATTTCATTATTCACAGGTAGGAAAAAACATTCGTTAACTTAATTTTTACAACCTTTAAATCTAGTTACTTTTATAGATAAAATCTTAAGTTAACAAATCGAAGCCAGAATGGAAGTGAAGTGGGTGCAGAGAACAACTGGGGGTCTAAAAGTCGTCGTGAGGCCCCCAGTGGGTCCAGGATGGGGCCCAGGTTGCGAAGACCCTGGAAGCTCCTAGCTAGCCGGGTTTATTGACCGATCGGAAGGGGATACTCACTCCTCCATGGCACCTGATCCCACCTCTGATGTTTTGGAGGTCCGTGTTTGCTCTGCACTCTGCACCTATTTTGTAATGTTTAATGGACTTTTGAGCTTGAATGCTGTTCGTTATCTCCATATATTTCATCAAATATTTTTTTTCATTTTCCTGCCAAAAAAAAAAAAAAAAAAAACAAAACAAAACAAAAAAAACAAAACAAAAAACAAACAAACAAACCAACCAACCAACAAACAAAAAAGAAAATCCATGCGATTTCGATTTTCTTAAGAAAATATAAGGTCTAGTAATAGTTTGTTAAAAGCAAATATAATATGCCTCTAATGCTTCCATGGAGACTTGTAATAAGTGTAGTTGAAACGCAAGTACGCCCATCTTCTTTGGAAAATAAATTTCATCATTAAAAATCCATTAAGTTACTTTCAAATTTTCCTTTTGTTATTTTTTGAAAAGAAATTATTTTCGTTATTTGAAATTCAACCGCTTCACGGAGAACACAAAATACATCAACTCGATTTTTTGCAGTTCAGTTGGTATAGGCCAACATTTGTATTGCGCATCCCAGTTGTTACATTACGTACAAACTGTAATAGTTTCGTTGTGCCATGGATATGGGCTTGGTAGTCAGTAGGTAGAGCACCTGCATGACTAGTGAAGCAGGCAGTTATGCAGGGGTCCCGGGTTCGACTCCTGGTCAAGTCATACATTTTCTCCTTGCATAATTTGGTGCCTTTGACCACCTGGCCTGGACTTGCAGGTGAAAGTCCTGTCAGGGGTAATAAGAACTTGGTTTAAACGAAATATCTGACGTTTTCCAGGCATATTTCACGATTTTGATATTTCCCGTGTCAGGAAAACACGAGAAATATCAAAATAGTGAAAAACACCTGGAAAACGTCAGGGATATATCGGACTAGAGTCTTCGAGGATAATTTAAGGAGGAATGTAATGGTTTGCACCGTGGATTACTACTCCTACAAGTAAGAGCCTCGGTTAACGTCCCTACGCTCCTTAGATACCTCGTTACGCGGCGCCAAGTCAAGTATCTCTCCGTGAACCTCTAGCTTGCTGGAGTACGTGGATAGCGGTCCGGGTACCTCAGTAGGTAGAGCAACTGACTGCAGGGATCCCGGGTTCGATTCCCCGTCCAGCCATACATTTTCTCCTTTCCTGTTGCACATTAATTAATTAACAACCACATGTTTCACGGAGTAAGGAGTTGGTCCTTACGTACGTGGTCTAAGAATATTTTTTCCTGAATTTTCTATTTATTTAGTTATTAAAAAGTGTTTATTTTATGAAAATAATAAATTTTGATACATATTTTCGGAGATTATATTATCGTGTCACACAAAATAATCTTTTCTGATATTAAGTCGGACAGCTTTACTATATATTCACATTGATGTTGAGTCGGACAGCTTGTCCGACTCAAAATCATAAACTTAAACACGCAATAGTTGCTTGAAAATATTCGAAATTTGAAATTATCTGAACATTTAAAAAAAATGAATTCCTTAATTTAACTTAGTAAAATAAAAATGTAACTCGTATATTACGTTAATTAAAATAGATCTATCTTTTTAAAAAAAGCGTCTTTTTGTTTGGATAAGTGTATTTTTTAGTTTAGTCATGAAAAAAAAAGTTTTTGCACATATTTAAAGAATTAACATTTAATTTAGTAGTTTAAAATACTAATAATTTTATAACTGTCATTTCAGTCAAAAGATTGTTGAAAGGGGGACAGCCACAAAAATATTTAACAACCTACCGAAAAATCTTTGACAAGCAAAAAAAAAAAAAACAAAAAACAAAACAAAACAAAACAAAAATACAAAAACAAAAAAACCCCCCAAAAAACAACAACACACAAACAAAAAACAAAACAAAACAAAAAAAAAGGGAGGGGGGGTTAAATTGTCCAAAACTTGAAAATCCTATGTGGTGGGGGTCCAATTTTTTTTTTCCACAAACAAATTTTATAAATACATTACCATAGGACGATTTGACTATACCCATGATACTGCAACAAAAAAGGTGGTGGGTGGGCAACTGCCCTTTCAATATTACAATTTTCAACCGCAAAAGGTTACGTTTGGGGAAAAAAAAGTGTGCAGGGAGGGTGGGGTGGGGGTGGGGAGAGGGGAACTACATGCATGGGTGAATGTATTTATAAATGTTGAATCGTTCATAAAAAGCGTAATTATGTGCTTTTCAGAGATAGTGACCGACGAAATCAAGTGGATTGAAATTCACTGAAAAAATATTGTAAACATTTCGATCCGCTCCACTCTTGTGTCACGTGATATATGCGCCATTGCAATAGCTCGACAGACGGAATTTCTAAGAAGGGGTGGACAATCGTACACCATCTGCGTATCTGGATAGTTAATCCGGATTAGTGAAGATTATCTGGACATCTAGGAAAGATGTGGAAAATTAGGGAGATAACAGATAAAGTGTAAGTTGGTTTTTTAACGGTAAAATAATTATTACCTTGACCTTAAATTTCTTACACGTAGTGGTCTTCCGGTTTATGTTTGTTGATATTTGTCTTGTTGATTTGATGCGGACATTACCAATTAAAATGAAATAAGTTATGGTACTGAAAAATATTAAATTATTTTTGTCGTTTTTATGGGTTTTGTAAAGTGCGAAATATATCGAATCTTAAGGAAACGTAATGGGGGGTGTCGGCATCGCGTCATCTGTCAAAACATTACAAATAAACATGAGTTACTTGTGAACTTAACGTTAGAACTCAACAAACTTCGTTTTTATCTTATCATGTTGTTGTAAAGATTTCGATTGTGAACAGTACATGAATATATGCTAAAATAATCCACTTTCATTTATTAAACTTATTATAGCTCGAATTTTCTCGAGACCATTTCCATATTGAACAAAATCTATAAGCCTATCGCCTATATCAAATTTCAATATGTTTTAAGGCATATAGCAATTGGAGATAAGAAGAGTTGTGTGTAAGATATCATATACTTGTTTTAAGAAGTTGGTTGGGCTGGAACTATTTGCCTCCTCTGTTCCCACTGCTCTGCTGTCTCATTCTGACCAAATCTCTTCAGTTTTTGAAACGCAATAAGCATAACGAGATGTCATTGAAAAAAAAAAGAACATTTTGGGGTTCATATTATAGCATTTTTTCCCTTTTCCTTTTCCCCTGTCCTCAGGACTTCATAATTTCAAAAGTACAAGACACTGGGATGTCTAAAACATGTTCTGCCATATTATGACAGATCATTACTTTCAAAGTAAGAGGAAGTGAAACATTCTGACTTGTATGTTTCATATGAAAAAGAATAATTCTGTCATTGTAGTTCTGTTCCTTGGCAGTTGAATTGGGAATATCAAGTCTCAAAATTTGGGAAAATTAAAATTTTTTGGCATTGGGGATCGTACCTTTGTTGGTACCAGTTATATATTAAGAGAAAAGAAGTGCTGCAATATGGCATAAAATACATAAATACAGTTTGAGTTCACCTGCCTGAATTCGGGCAAGTGAACTCAAACTGTGACTTGTCTGAATGCAAAACTTGGATGCCCAAAATTTAGAACTTGTTTGAAAGAAGAGAAAACCAGTAACTTAATTTATTATTGTAAATAAAGTGATATATTACTTTATATTTGGCAAGTTAAGTGCCAGAAAAAATTTTGATGTGCAGATGATGCTATATTTTAAATACTTGTAAACTCACATGCCATGCAGCAATATTTCCTTTAAAATAAAATTCATTTCTTTGAAAATTATTTTCTGTACGATTTTTTTGTGAATTTTGATTTTTTCCCCCTGACAACTGAAGCCAAGTCAAAGGAAAACATGTTTCGAACAGAATACATAGTGCGCCGAGAATAAGTGGTGTTCTTAATATTCTGTGAGTGAATAAATGAACTATTTTGTAATATCTTATTTCATAATAAGAATGTAGAGAAAGTTCTCAGATGAAAAATGTATTTTTGTCAACAACCACACAAGAAGAACAGAATAATGAACCTGATTTTTTAATATATGGTATGATCTAGAAACGCTACCCAGGAATTTCTGAATGCAAAAACAATGTCATATTCCTGGTAGAAATCAAATGTTCAATTTATTGTTTTTTTTATAAACTAGTCTATTTAAGATAAAAAAAATCTATCAGAAATATAGAAATATTCACTTGTCTGATTGGACAAGTACATCAGCAGTTTCACTTGCCCGAACTGAGAATTTACCTGCCCCAGGCAATCAGACAGTTGATCCCTGACAGTTATCTCCTTGAAGTGTATAAAAAAAGAGTTACCCAGAAAAATACTTAATACTTGTAAGACATTTATAGCGAGCGCAGCAAGCGGCGCAAAGTGCCGCTCGTCACTGCGAGCTCTAACGACAACGCCTGGGCGAAGAGAAAATTCGGGCTACTGCACATTCATTCAATAGCATTTTTTTCCGCAGTAATTCTGGACCCACAGTGCATCGCTTGTTGTTCTTGCTGCTAACTTCGTTCATGCGGTAACAACAACTCAAAATTCACAAAAAAACAAACTCATCTTAATTTAACGGATATTGCATACAGATAGTAGATTAAACGTTCTTTGTTAAAATTTTTGCATTTTTAAAACTTCGTTTATGGAAATGCAGCTAACAAACGACGTCATGTGATGTCACAGTCTAGACGTACGTTCCAAATGTCTCGTGCGGTTTGAAGTAGGGGATCTTAAAATCAAGTGAACTATGCGCTCGCCCCAACGGTCGTGCCTTCAACATATTGTTATGGGAATATGCATGTGGAATACCTGATGTTGGTAGAAAATTGTGATGCTCCATTACCGAGCACATTTTTTGGATATTAAATAGGCCTTAGCTGGAATCTTGCACTTCAAAAATATGGCTCAATGATAAAAAATAAAGAACCAGTTAGTTGAAATATTTTTTTTTTCAATTGAGCACTTAGAATATACCAACAATCCACTAATTTTCAATTATAATTGATTAATGGAAAAACATAACACTATGATGGCCATTTTATATATATCTCTTTTGAGGGATAAACAGTCAATGAAACACTGCTCAAGTTTTATTTTAATAAAAGATTTTTGTTTGATTGTATGTTAATGTCTTATCAGTTCAAATAAAAGCACAACAATATTTACTTGAATACAGAAGTAAAATTCTGGCAATGTTTCTTTTCTCAATTTAGCACCAATGTGGTGATGAATTATACAGAGGTGGAAACAAAAGTCCGAGAAGCCACGAATGATGATGCATGGGGGCCACATGGTCAGATTATGCAAGAAATTGCCAGATACACATTTACATACGAGCACTTCCCAGAGGTGATGGGTATGTTGTGGAAACGCATGCTTCATGATAATAAAAAGAACTGGAGGAGAACGTATAAGGTATGAAAGCAAGCTTTAAAAGTATTTCTTTTATGACATTTTTGTTATGTAGATGTACGTTCCAATTGTGCTGTACCTTTGTTTTATTGTTTTTGCAGTCCTTACTTTTGTTGTCATACCTGGTCAGAAATGGATCTGAGAGGTGTGTAACGAGTTGTAGGGAGCACCTGTATGATCTGCGTGGATTGGAAAGTTACACATTCACAGATGAAATGGGAAAAGACCAAGGTTTAAACGGTAGAGTATCTGAGAGCAACATGTATGCCTTGTTGTGCTGATTTTTTTTTTTTTTTTTTTGGTAAGAATAGTAAATGCAGGTATTTTATTATATATGTCACCAATTAATTTACATATTCAGCAACAAGCATAGTAATTTCAGGCATAGACTAGTTTTACTAAGTAGAAGGGTTGAATATGGGTACTTGATGTTGAAACATATTGAAAACAGTTTAAAAAAAAAGTTTTATATTTCCATTTTTACTCTACATGAGGGCATCAAGAAGTCTGGTATCAAGGAAAAGTTATATAGATACATGTGCATAGTTACAGTACCCATGATAGCTAACACGCTTGAAGAAATTATGCATTAAAAAGGGATAATTTCACAACAGTGTAAGGTCTACATATTTAGCTCTTCTGAGCCAAAGGCTCAAAGAGCTAATGCTATGGCCATTTGTGCGGTGTGCGTAAACTTTTTAGAATATGGGCCATAACTCAAGAACCCCTTGGCCAATTATTGTCAAATTTGTCACAGGTTATCCTTGGCCCAAGGGCTCCCTTTTATACTAAAACTGGGGTTGTGACCCTTTAACAAGGGGAGATAATTAGGAAAATAGAAACAAAAGTACTGGTTGCTAAAAAATCTTCTTCTCTAGAACCACTGGGCAGATTATCACCAAACTTACACAAAAGGATGAGGATATGTTGTAGATTAAAATTTGCACGGGGATTTACCCTGGGGCAAAGGGCGTGGTCTCAAGGTCACTTCAAAGTTGACCAAAAATTACATTTTATTAAAATGTTGATATTTTGCTTACTATAAGGACTAGGATCATCAAATCTTGTCAGTTGGTGCATCTAAGGACCTCATATCATGTTGACTCAAAAGTAGGTCACGGTGACCTACTTTTTAAATTTTGCGGCCATTCTTTTTCAAAATGATTTAGAGGCATATTTTGAACAATTTAAGGCCTATGATCATCAAACTTTGTCAGTTGATGCATCTTGGGTCCTCAAAGTACGTCAACTAAAAAGTAGGTCACCTTGACCTACTTTTTGAATTTTATGGCTAATCTTTTTTAAAACAATTAAGGTCATTAATTCGAATACGGGGAGGCTTAGAATCATTAAATCTTGTAAGATGATGCATCTTGGGGCCATAAAACATATTTATTAAAAAGTAGGTCACAGTGACCTACTTTTTGAACTTTGCAGGCATTCGATTTCAAAGCGTTTTAGAGGCATAATTTGGACATTTTAAGTCCTATGATCATAAAACTTTGTAAGTTGATGCATCTTGGGTCCTCAAAAAAGGTCAACAGAAAAGTAGGTCACCGTGACCTACTTTTCAATTTATATGACTATAATTAAATATTTCAGGTACTAATTGGCTTAGAATCATCAAACTTTGTCAGTTGATGCGTCTTGGGTCTTCAGAGTAGGTTGACTAAAAAGTAGGTCGACTAAAAAGTAGGTCACAATGACCTACTTTTGAAAATTTATGGCGTTAATTAAATATTTCGGGTACTAATTGGCTTAGAATCATAAAACTTTGTCACTTTATGCGTCATGGGTCCTCGGAGTACAACAACTGAAAAGTAGGTCACGGTGACCTACTTGTGAAAATTTATGGCTTTAATCAAATATTTTGGGTACTAATTGGCTTAGAATCATTAAACTTTGTCAGTTGATGCGTCTTGGGTCCTCGGAGTACAACAACTGAAAAGTAGGTCACGGTGACCTACTTTTGAAATTTTATGGCTGTATTTAATATTTTCAGGAATTATTTGGCTTAGAATCGTCAAAATTTGTCAGTTGATGCATCTTTGGTCCTCGGAGTAGGTTGACTGAAAAGTAGGTCACCGTGACCTACTTTTGAAAATTTATGGCAGTAATTAAATATTTTGGGTACTTATTGGCTAGAATCATCAAACTTTGTCAGTCGATGTATCTTTGGTCCTCGGAGTACAGCAACTGAAAAGTAGGTCACGAAAAGTAGGTCACGGTGACCTACTTTTGAAAATTTATGGCTTTAATTAAATATTACAGATACTAATTGGCTTAGAATCATCAAACTTTGTCAGTTGATGCATCTTGGGTCCTTGGAGTAAAACAATTGAAAAGTAGGTCACTTTGACCTACTTATAAAATTTTATGGTTATAATTTTAAAAAATATTTTAGGTATTAATTGGCTTAGAATCATCAAACTTAGTTGATGCATCTTGGGTCCTCAGAGAATGACAAATGATAAGTAGGTCACCATGACCAACTCTCAGGTACTAATTGGCTTAGAATCATCTTGGGTTCTCAGAGTGTGAATTGGAATTTCAAGGGTTTATCTAAATATACAGGATACTTCGAGGCTTCAAATAGAAGTGATAGGTTGTACAGTTTATCAGAAGAGCGATTCAAGGCCCATGGGCCTCTTGTTTTTTAACATGATCATATGCAAGGAAACAAAGTTGCATTTATCTTAAAATTGTTTTAATCTCCATCTGTATATTCATTGAGATTTTTAAATTAAATAGAAAGAAAAAAAACTTTAGCATAGAAATTAAAGATATAAGTACCGAGCTCACTGTATGAAACTATGTGATACCCCACCCCCACCCCCCCCCCCCCAACTTCCCTATTGAGTAAATAGCAAATTCTAACGGATGTGCAGAATTGTAATGGATGTACACCCCAATCACTATATACCATCCCGCTTTTCAAGCAGGGGGCATAATAAGCTCAGGGAAATATTAATCTCTTGCTCAATAAAGGTATTATTTTAATGTCATTTACAAATACTGGACTACAAACATGGTTGTTTTGTTGTCCACAGAATATCAAGAGATGAAAAAGTTAAGATGATTATAAATTAAAAGAGAAATTTATTTACATGTATATCAAATAGTGAACTAAAATTCAATGAGTGTAAGCAAAGTATGAAGGACTTGCCTGAATGATAATTTTGTTGCAATTACAGTAAGGCAGAAAGCCAGGGAACTCGTAGAATTTATTCAGGATGATGAACGATTACGAGAAGAGCGTAAAAAGGCTAAGAAGAATCGAGACAAGTACATAGGAATGTCTGGTGATAGTTATTCATCAGGCAGCAGATACAGTAGGAGTCTTTTTTTTTTTTTTTAATCTAAAAAAAGTTCATGCAATATTTTCCAGAGAAAATGCATGAAAATTAGATTTTATAAAGAATAACAGTTTAAAAAAGTTTTTGTAGCATTTACTGTCTCTAGTAATCAGAATAAAGTAATGTGTTGCCTTGTTAGTGAAAATATATAAAATGGCTTATTATATATATCTTTGATAGGTTACATGAATTTTTTTTCTTAGGTGACAGGTATGATGAGGATCCTGTATCATCAGGGAGCAGATCTAAATATAAACTAGATGAAATTGATGATTGGGATTCCGGCAACAAGTCAATAGCAACAGAAGCAGTTGACAAGGTCAAAGGTCTTTGGAACAAAGTTCAAGGTCGAAGGGGTCCAGAAGATATTGTTGACTACAGGTGAGAATTAAGTAACAATAAGCCTGTAATAACATGCTTTTGAAACGCTTGAAATTGGGCTACTCAAAGGAAACTCAAAGAAATTGTTAAGGGAAAAGTTTTGAAATGATCAAATGTATTGAATATGTAAAAAATCATGTTGCAAAGATGGAAATACTAGATAAATGAAATTTCACAGTAACCAGCAACAGGCTAATTTTAGAGATTTATTTAAAAATTGAGATGATGGGTTACTATATGTTTTATGCTCTGAAATTGGGTAAAATGTATCTAACTAAAAAAAAATACATGTATAAGCATAATGCATGTATTGTTGACTTTGTGTTGCCCAGGACAGAATTCTATATCAGTGATGTTCAGTAAATCTTTATGGATTTGACCATTTATTCTGAGGTAGTCATTATCATCATCTAGTAGTGTGATCTATTAATACTTCATCATTTATCTCTTTTTGAAGGATCATACTAAAATTAACCCCATTATACACCATTATTGCTGAGGTGAATAATTAAACAGTACCTGCTTACTTTGAAAGTGTATTTATTGACAATGGCATGGTCAGAAACATATTTCAGTGGTGTGGGGGTCCGTTGTGTTGTTTTAATGTGTATTGCTAAAATCACCAGCTTGTAATTTTGTAGCTCAAACCGTGCCCCCGGCAGAAAGAACAGTTTGACTGATTTTAGGTGAGAAAAGTACTAACTGAAAATTCAGAAAGCCCAAAGCAAACAATTAACATTCTGGAGTAAATATGAAAAATTTTGTTGAACCTCATCAAGTTGTAAATATTTATATGTGGTTTCAGCATCATTTTTCATTACAGCTTGTCTGCACATCTTTCTTTCTTTTTATGTTTAGGTAGCTTTTCATGGGAAAAACTGCACCAACTGCCTCTCTGTTCTTTGCTAAACCACATTAATTTAATATTTACTTTTTCTGCTTTATAAGTAAAAGACATGTTTTTTGAGTTTAAAAATATCTAATTTTTGTATTGATGATGATCAAACTTTTCTGGTTGTCAAAATATGAAAACACCAGCAATAAGTTCTAATTTTATCATGATGATCTTGGACATTTGTCAATGTTTATTTGACTAAAAACTAAAAATATAAATACACCCAGTCAGATTTACATGTATTTCTCAGAAATTTATGTAGATTGAAAACTTTTCTTATGAGATATTTCAAAGAATGTGGGTGCAGGCAAGCTGAATCTGTTCTGTTGTTAATGTCTATTGCATGATATCATAATTGTGACACCTGATACAGGGTATTGAATTAGTTAAGTTATGTGTTTGTTTTAAAGATAACGTACAAGTGTATATAGATTTTGCTAATCCCCAAGTGCAAAAATATTTTTGTAGACATCATACATTTATTATTTTTTGATATGCATCAAGTTAAGTGAATTAAGACACCAATTTCCCCACTTATTGGACTTGTAAATGTATCAGTATGATCTTGTTATGGACACTGCATGCATATTACAACTGTTATTGCTTCTGTGAAAGAGAATATAGATCACTGATAACAAATGAAGGAATGACATGTAAAGAACTGACACTTTACACCTGTAAACTGAGCCTTTGCACAAAGTAACACTGATAGTCCTCCCTCCTTGCATTTAGATAAAATAAAAGAATAATAAATAAACAAAAAGCAACAAATTAAAAACAAACAAAAAAAGAAATAGAAGGAAAACAAACTATTTAAAAAACCCTAATACCTAATTAGGTGTTTTAAGGTAATAAACTTAAATTGAATGAATAAATGCAGGATAACCACAAAAAGAGCCACAACAATAGTAAAAGCAGAAGAAGTGGTATTCTTCACTTAAAGTTGCACTTATGTCTCGGTATACAACTGTATGTCACTGACAGTAACACAAACATATATCAATAATTCTAATAAGAATGTTTTTATTAGATCATAGACCCAGTGCATTGTAAAAATTAAAGATGAACTTTCATTATTAAGCAATCAAATCTTTCTCTCTTTTTATTTAAAATCTTTATTGAGAAATAATCTAAAAATTGCTGTACAGTTTTCCAACACTTGATATGCACTCTGTCTGACTCTGTTGAACTGCTTGTTGAAAAGATGATTTGGAGAGAATTTCTTATTGACGATAATATTTTACTCCCCATGACAGTATTTGTAGGTTTTACTCTTGTGTGGTAATTGTAAGGGACTATGTGAAAAATCATGATAAAAGTATTTCTCCGTAAATTAGGAAGTACAATATTTCTGTGTTAATTAGGTGCTAACAGGTTGATACTCTGTTTACCAGACATTGAAATACTAATTAATGGGTAGACTGTAAATAAATAAGTACATCATAATTTAGGTACTCTAAGCCAACAAGGTATAGTACTTAGAATGTCAAATTACTCTGATTTTAGTAGTCTCTAAAAAAGGGTATGAATTGTATGCTCTGCATTGTGTGTAAGGTACTTGTAACAATGGCAGTATATGCATGTGTTCTCTCAATTATTTGTATAGTACCTTTAACCATCAAGAACTTGTTATGTTTGCTTGAGTAGATGAAATATACAAATTCTGATTATGATCTTCACATATTCAATAGGGGATGATAAAGTACGGGGGGTAATTATTAATTTAAGCATGCTTTGTAAGACATACTCCCTAGGATCTAAAAATCTGAGCACAGATGGGTGTGATATATATTGTTAGAAATGCGTGTAAAGAAACTTGATGAATAATGAGTAAAAAAAGCAGTTTGTATTTAAAATTCTATTTTCTTTCATTTCTCTTGCCCATTAATGCCCGATACTGAATGATCACACTATATTATGCTTAATCTATTCTTCTAGCCTAACAGATCATTGGTATGTGAATTTTTTGTAATGTTTTATGTTGTAAAAATATTACTTACAACTTCTAGTGTCATGTTATGTACTTTCATTTTCATGTTAAAGAGCTCTGCAATTTTCACTATATTATGCAGAATGTTTAAATTTAACTTAGTTGAGATCAGTGACCCATTTAAATTTGATATTTAACAGTTAGGAAGATAATATTGGGACTATGGTTAAAAATCTTTTGAAATTAATATTGAAGTAGATTTTTTTTCATTTAAATGGTTTTAATTTAAAGAATAAATGTACTAACATATTAACCACATGCATGATTTTTTTTTTCAAATTACTGTGTAGTACTTTGATCTTGGTACTTTAAAGTACTGGTACTCATATAAGATCAATATTGTTATTTTTCAAATACAGTTGTTGACTGGTAGTCTATAAAATGAAAAAAATATGCCTTAGAACTATAAACTGTTACATGTGTAATTTTTGAAAATACAAAATATGTATTAAAAAGGTAATATTTTTTGTGTAGAGACCACTGATAGCCAGATAAATGAAATCACATAGTGTGTGTTTATGTTTATCTTGGAAAAGCCACACTTTCATTAAAATGGCTTAAACTAGAAATAAACCTTCACAATAGTTTCCAAAGTGTTTATAGAAAGAATTTTAGTTACTGCATCTATGTGTTGAATTGTCTTTGTGTCATTTTATTGATTTTAAGAAGTAGTAGGTTTGTACATTGATTTATTCACTAATAGCATGTAATGAAGTGTTTGTTGTAATTCATCACACTGAAATAAAAAAGGAGAATATTCCATGTAGAATGAATGTTTGCATTCTCTTATATAAATGTATGCTGCAGTACAGATGGAGGTAAGATAGTAAACAATATATTGATATAATGTGTTTAAGAATTCTTTTGTTTATATTTCAGTGATGAACCAGACAACAAAATAGATGATTTTGACGATGCGCCCAATTCCAAATATTCCTATAAAGATGACGATGAAGAATTCACCTCTGTAGAACGAACACATACAACCAGAACTGAAAAAATAACAACGAATCGACGTACAAGATCTGTCGGGAAAAAATTAGATTTAGGGGCATCTTCTAATTTAGCCAAAGAAATATCAGATACAACGGTAATCTTGCAAATTAATTCATTGTACATATTACCTGTACGATATTTGCACCATAATTCACTACTATTGTAAGCAGATTGTCCTGCTTTTCCTCGATTTTATTTCAGCCCCTGTCTGCTTTTCCATGACTACTTTACACTGCTTTCCGTGATTGGTTTTAAATATAAGATACTGTAAAGTTACTTTTTTCCACGGGGTCGTAATTCCGCGGAATGACAATTTCTGTTTCATCTGCAGGTAGAAAATTACTCAGATTTCTTAGATTGCCACTATATTCCTTAGGTTTCCTTGAAGTACAATGGGACAAATTTGCGCGAAAAATTTGTGACCGTGTACATAGCATAAATTAATACCACACGGAAAAAAAGTACTTTTACAGTATGTGTTATCTTCTTCCTTATGATACCTCTTTTCTGCAATTTTTCAATGGCCACCTGTAGAGCTTGGCATCAAACATATGGCATTATTTACCTGTATTTTCCTGTATTTCGTTATAGGGTTCTAGTAAGTTATAATGAGTTTGAACTCATGGTGCAATAAAATTTAAATGATATTTACAGTTCACACTGTAATACATTTCAAAAGTTATGGAAATTATTCATACTGAGGCAAATGTGGTTACCATTGTATAATATACATGGATAAACATAGAGAAAAGTCAATGTTATTGTTAAATTCTTACCAATGCAGTATAGGGAAAGTTTGCAAAGCCACAATTACAGCTGATGCAAAGGGAGTTGCTATAGTAAGATTGGAATTGTACATTTTAAAATACGTCTTGGAAAAGCAAAAACTATAATCTCAGAAGAGCAGTTTGATTTGTCGAGGAAAAGCAGGGTTTTATTTTATTTCACTGAAAAGCAGTGTTGGATTGCAGTAAAGTGGAATAGCGCTTTAGCATTCTGTCTTCCTGTGGTCATCATTATAAACATCAAAATTATAATTATTCATGAAGTTGTATTTTTAGCAAGATATTTGTGTAATGCATGATAATGATATATGTGTCAAAATTGATTAAAATTTACTTGAGAAAGTTATTTAACAATATTTTCAATTTTGTCATTAAATCCATGTTAATGCAAAATTATGGCCATGTGGGTATAATATACTATATATGTATGTGTCATTTAAGTTTTGCTTCCATCAATGAAATTTTGCAAGAACAAAACAAACATTTATTTAAAATATTTTTGAAATGTGTAAGATGCAATAAGTACATTTATTTTAATGTAGCAGGAAAAAAATTAAGTACAAAGGTTTTTTAACAAAAAATATAACTTTGTATTTTCTCTTATAAAATAATTTTCTGTCAGATATTACAATTTTATTGAGTATTTTTGTTACCTATTTAGTCACAGTCCAGTAGTACCGGTGTCAAAGAAGACTTTGGTCCCAGTTTGATAGACATGGGTAGTACAAAGACTGGAGATGACGGCTTCTCAGATTTTGCAGATTTTAAATCTGCGACAGCAAATGGTGAATTTAATCCAAGAGCTGGTACAACAGCTGGTAAGATCTTACATGTAGTGGACTTTATATATAGTTGAACTTTGTTATCTCAAACAGTGATATAGTCCCAACTACATTTTCTATGTGTATTTGAACTTTGGTATCTCGAATACTAAGATATTTCGAAGTTTCTCTTGGTCCTATCAAGTTTGTGATGGTGAGGTTTGACTGGAAATGGGTGTGTATAGAGAGAGAGAGAGAGAGAGATCAGCAAAAATGATTGTTACATTTTCAATGCTTTGATATTTTTCCTCAAAAATTTGTTTTCTTTCTGATACAGTTTCTCCAAACAAAGAATCTTTTGGGGACTTTGCAAGTTTTGATAATGGTCCTAACACTGCAAAACCAGCTGGGTATGTTTTTGAAGGAAGCATCAGGTTTTTAATAACATGTATATCTATTGGAATATTGGTATATGTATATTCTAAGATTTGTCTTTTACGGTACTGTTTTAATTTTCTTTATGAACACATGTATGCAGAGCTGCCAACCCTTAAGATTTTGGTGTAAGACTTGCATATTGAGCATGTAAAGTACACCTTACAATTATAAAAATTTATTCTTCCAATTTCCATTTTCCTTTGTAGAAAATTTGAAATATCAGAATTTTTGTAACTTTCAGCTAAGAGTGCAACTATATACCGTTTGATAGTATATCACGGTATATTTTTCCACGGTTCAATTCATGATACCTTAAACTTATACCGCTGTTCGGTTCAATTGGTCCAAAATTATCCGAATCGTCCGTTTTGTTTCCTTGTTTACAATTTCAAAATGGCTTCAGCGCAAAACGTGAGGTCGACATAACGCATTAATGGCAGTTAAACTCATCTCCAGCATCTTACAGACCTTTGGTAATACACCATATCTCATCACGCGTGTATTTCAATGAAAATTCGCTGTCTTGTTGACTGAAACGTGTTAACATGAGAAATATTACAACTGGTTTTCTACATAAATAAAAGGAATAAAAGAATGAATGTCTTCCTTTTTCATTCCAATTTAAAAGGAAGATTATTAGGAAAGGTCCCCGTAGTTCCCTGTAAATGTTCATCACTGGTTTAGAATATTGTCACAACTCAAAGATCTACCTATCAATCTACTGGTAGTTCAAGTTAACAAAATGATATTTTAATTATTATCAAAAATATGAACATTTGATAAAACCCTGTCAAGTTTTAAAAAAAATATGACAAACTTGAAAGACTCTTTAACCATGTCATGTATCGTGATATTTATTGTATTGTGAACTGAATACCGTGATACGTATCATATCGTGAGGTTAGTGTATTGTTGCACTACTTTCAGCCTTTCTTTTGCCTTATTATTATAAGTCATACTCAGGGTTCGACACTCGTCAAAATTTAGTCTCGCCATTTGGGCAACCCTGGTACTGATCGCAGGTTGCCCGAATGTATTTCAGGTCACCTGAACAAATGAAACAAAAATGTGCAGTTGTTTAAAATTTGTTAAGATAACAGAAGTTGTGCTTTTGTATTATAAAATGTAAACCAGACATTTTTGGAATGTCAAAAGATGTCTTCCAGTATTTTATCAAACAAAGAAAACAAGCAACAAATATTATAAGCAGAATCAGAATGTTAATTAGGCTTTAAAAAAATTATGTTTGATTCCTGCAATATTCCCAAAAAAATCAAGGGTTGGTAGGTCGGGATTTTTTTTTTTTTTTTTTTTTTGCTAATGTATCAATGTACAATCTCACATATTGACACATAATAAAGTTTCTAGGCTAAAACATTCATTTTCACTTACCATAAAGGCCAAAATAAATAGGGTCAAATATCCCTGGACTGAATTAACCGGGTGTGATATTACAGTAGACACCCAACATGGCTGTCTAGCAGCAGAAAACGAACATCACAAAGTTGTGGGGGGAAATGCTAAATGTTACAATGATGATTAATATGTTGACGGTGCGACCGTTAGGGAGAGCGCAGAAATTTATTCAGGTTTAATTTAGATCGGGCTCGATGGTCAGACTGCATGTGACATTTGGTGCGTCTAGACTCTGACGTCACATGACGTCGTATTTAAGTTGCATTACAAACCGAAGCCTGAACATTGTTGACTTTAATAAAGAACGCTTTATTTACAATTGATCTGCAATATATCCATTAAAAATCAAGGCGAGTTTATTTTTTGTTAAACTTTTGTTGTTATTCTACGAGAAGGTAATAAATTTTGTTATTCTACGAGAATAAATAATCAAGTGAAGTTGAAGCGAGGTGATCGAGGCAGACGACGAGAAAAGAGTTGCAAGCCTTCTCTCTTTTTATGTATCAGTCGAAAACGGTATATTTAAAAACAGCATATAGAGACAAGAGTTACATTATTGATAACATATAGTGCATATTAGAATATAAAAATAGGTAAAAGGTGACTCCACCCCAGATTTAAAAAGAAAAAAATATGGAAAAGGGGGGGGGGGTTCCATACCCCAAGTGCCTGTGTTTAAAATATAAAACATCATTATTGAATATTCCCAACTCATCCCAGGTGGTCATTTGGGCGAGCCAGACTGAAAATCAAGTCGTCAAAAATCATCCGGGGGTGGAAATGACGAGGTGACGAGCGTGAATGTCGAAACCTGCATACTTCTAACAGCACTTGACTGTAATGCTGTGCTAACGTGATCTAAATAATCTAAAAGTTAACAAAATGTACAAAATATACTAGGGGTTTGGCGGCCCTTTGACCCCCTCCTTACGATTTTTCATTTGATGATGATGGCAGCTCTGTGTATGGTGTTTTGATATACTGGTACATGTACATTACATTACATTATTTTTCTTCTTTATTTAGAAGTGACAGTTTTGCTGACTTCTCTCAATTCAACTCAGCTGCAGCAAGCTCTTCAAATTCAGCATCAACGAGTAACGACTTACTGGATGTGTTTGGGAACAGTTCAACATCAGCCTCCATGCCTGCCAGTGGTACAGCTATGGGCAATCCAATGATGGGCAACATGCAGCCCATGAACAACATGTCCATGTCAGGAATGAATCCACCCATGATGGGGGTTAGCATGAATGTGGGAATGACTGGTGTGCCAAATCAGGTCAGTTTTTTTGAAAAAACTAAAAAATCTTGAGTTATGATGTTTTCCAGTTTTAACTAGATAAAAAGATAAAAAAAAAAAAAAAAAACATGAAAAAAAACAAAACTCTGGTTGTTCCAGCTGGCTACTTTCAAATGCACAACACCCACAATATTTTCAGATGAAAAGATGATTAAAAGTTTTATTTTTTGAGTTTTCTTATACATGTTCATTTATGAATAAAACTGGTTTGCCCACAAATGAAATTAAGTTTGCATAAAGATATGTGTGAATTTAAGATGTCTTTAAAACTGCATTTTTATTGGCAGATGGGAATGAACCCACAGATGATGGGTATGACCCCACAGTCTCAAGGTCAAATGACGGGAATGTCCTCGAACATGATGTCACAAGGCATGATGACACCCATGTCAATGCAACAGCAGCAGGTTTGATATGAATATAATGAACAAAAATCAATTGTGCGTCAGTTTACTGCTGTGTAATGGCTGAAATTGTTGTAACACTTCAGGTTTTATATACATATACATATATATATATATATATATATATATATATATATATATATATATATATATATATATATATATATATATATTAGCTGCCCTCAGTTGTAATGTGAAACTTTACATCAACCTGGTACTTATGATGCAGTCATGAGGAAATTCATTTTTGTCTTTGGTTAACCTTGTAAATCAATAAAAGAAAACCATTAAAATGAAACTAAATATTTGTAGCCTATGATGATGCAGCCAGGAATGCCACAAAACATGGGATTTGCAGCCAGCTTCCCCATGCAAAGCACTGGAATGGTAAGTCAAGCTTGGGGGTCAGGAATATGGCACTCCATTAAGTTGATTGTAATGAAGCAAGAAAGGGAGGTAAATGGGTAAAAAAAAAATGTGTTTGCCATATTCTTATGCACTGTATAAACAGTGAAGTTTGCATGCAGTAAAAGTTTTGGCAATAGTATATGGATCAGCTGAAGGAAAGCTTAGGTGCATGAAGATTCCTTGGCTTATGAAGCTGTGTACTGTACAAACTGGTGATGGCACAGTGTTCTTATTTTGAAATTGTCGGTCAGTTTTGAAGAACTTGAATAAAGTTCAATACAACAAGCATGCTGTTTTTGAAAAAGAACTAGGAAGTTGGGCATTATACATATGTAAGGGCAGTAGAGGCACATTAGTCAAACATTATTCATCAGACCTTATAAATTAATTTTAGTAGTAATATTAATACAGGTTGCATTCCCCACATTAAATTCATATGCAGCACTCTAATCCCCGTATTAATTGGATGAACGCACTCAGCTTTAAAAATATATATATATATATTGTGCAAATTGCAAATTTATTTATAAACAGAGAAAAAACATGTGTTAGTTCCAACTAACCCATCGGAAACCTGAAACACAGAGGAAGATTCATTTACTAACAAAATGTTTATTTTCTTAACCTGCATGCTTCAGCTAAATATATATGTGGATAGATATTTTTGGGACAATTATAAAACACCATTTTTTTTCTTGTATATTGTGTCCTCTTTTTTAAAAAAGTTAATCATTATTTTGAATCAAGGTTATAGCATTGATGTTATATTTATCAATATTCTTTTATTTACGAATTTGGTGAAAAAAGTAAAACAATACTTTTCTTCCTAATTCCCATGTATCATGAAATCTAACAACATGTGACTTTAGGTTGCAGAAGAAACAGAAATAACTAGCATTACTGCGTCCGCATCTGAGACCAAGGTTGGTTCATTTTTCACCTCCCCTTTGGCTTCATGTTATAATTGGGGGACGTCATTGACTTTACCTGTAAGGCTTCACATACAAGGAACGAATAGTCGGATTTCTTCTTTATAGTATTGTAAATGAAAGGTTAAGTGTGGGAGTAACACATGCATTGTGGAAGGGGAGAGATGGAAATCCTGTACCCTAAATATTCACTATATCATTCTATATGTTTTGATCAGTATATTTAAACACGTTGGTATTGAGAAAATAACCCCAATGCAGAGAAATGTTGATTATGTGTACATTTATATGTTTACATTCAAAAGTTTTAATTTTTTTGTCACACTAATTTTATATACTGTAAATCACTACTTATTCGCGTGAACTTCATTTTTGCTTAATTACACGAGACCATCTGCTCTTGAAAATTTCATTCTCGCATATAATTTTATTAGCGTAGCTCATATACAGCAATAACCAGAATTTGTGAAAGTTTTGTACCACTTATATGTACCATATACCTATCTGGCAAAAACAAGTTTCACGAAAATTTGGTGATCTGCAGTAACTCAGATTTATACTTCTCTTGTTATAAAATGGATTGGCATACAACACAGAGAAGATACATGTACAACAAACTAATCCAGACTCCAGAGATTCCAATGATTTTGTGGTATCGGTGATCAGATATTTCAAATTTAAGAAAAAGTCCATGACATTTTGTTATGAATTCTTAGTGAGCTGAGAATTTTGATTTTATCTTTCCTTGTATGTGAAGCAAGATTCTTCTTCTTGTACGCCTGTAATCCTGCTTTGAATACAGCTAGACTTATGTATCAGTCTTGCATTTAGAGCTGTTATTTTAATGGTACACAGTATAGTTGACTTTGGAGTATCTAACAGTGCAGGGCTGTAAAGTGAAGATATGTACATTCAAATTTAAAAATAAAAACATTTTTTTTTTAATCATAAAAATGTCCATACTTTGAGATTTATAATTTTTGAATCCAAGTTTTGAAAAGAGTTCTGGTATTTCAAATACATATACATACAGTACTATACTTATACAGTATATATACTTCATATCTGCACATATATATACGTCAAGATATACATGTATAGCATACACATTAAAGACTACTCTGGTGGTGGCCAATATTTAATTTCTGTAGTATTTTGTAAACACCTACATGTTCATGTATACAAGAATATGTAAGTTATATACCTTATCCTAGTTTTATTCCCAGTAGAATCTGTTGGCTATACATGTATAAAGGTAGTGAGAATATAGGCCCTAAAATCTACCTACATGTTCATGTATGCAAGAATATATGTTATACTCCATATCCTGTGTTTATTCTCTGTAGAGTCTGTTGGCTATTTATGTATAAAGGTAGTGTTGAGAATACATGCCTCATCTTGTGTGATGGATATGTGGTTTATATTACAGCAATTGTTTGAGTGCATAGTTAATGATATGTGATTTTCATACATAGTACACACACACACTACACATCTGAAACCATTTTCAGAAAGTTGAGTCATCTAAGGTGTAGAAGAATAGGTTATGACAACATTTTTGTTTTTTATTCAAGCAGAAGACTTCCAACACCTGGACTGATTCAGGAAAAGTTAACATTGACCTGGATGGGCTATCATCTCCAAATAAGTACCAGAAACATGCACAACCGTCCATGAACCAACTTCAACAGCAAACTAGTCAAGGTAATACACCCTCTGCAAGTCAGTAAACATATTTAGATTGTTATGATGCAGTGTATAGGCAATTATAGAATAACTTACTACAGCTGCAAATACTGGATAAGAAAAATTCTTATTTTAGGAATTTTTTGGGGGGTCAAACGAACATTGTCATGTAAATAATGAAGAAAATAAATTTTTTGATAGTGAAACTACATGTATATAATAAATGTTACTAACTGGAAGGGATTATGAAATTAAAAATAATACATTTAACTGATATTTTGATTATGGTAAACAAATAAAATCAGTTGGTTTGCATGTGTTTAAAGGAGTTCCATATAACACTTGGAGCCCTGAAATGTATCAGCTGGGGTACACAACTGAATATGGTATAAATTCTTGATTTGATTAGCAGTCTAACCTTGCTGTGCATGTATTTTGATGTTCTGAATTCTTTAAGTTCACTTTGAAATGGGTAGCCTTTGATTAGAGTTATCTTTTCACCATTTTCCAAGTTCTATAAGATTTAATAATAGAGAGATTGATACTGTTTTTATGGTGTTTTGGTTGAAGTGGTTTTGGATAACAGTTTTTCTTTTTTGATTATACACCTGTCAATGCTATGGCTTTTGATAGGATAAGTTGCTCTTATTTATTTTTTAAGTTTTTATTTCCCATTTGAATGTGCTTAACAGCATACAATGTACTCTATTTTGTGGTATTTGGGTGTATTATCATATGACACACATGTACAAGTTTTAGTACTGAACTAGCTAGTAAAATCTCCTATGAGCTAAGGTTGAATAGCATTGATAATTTGTTGTTGTTGTTTAATTGAACCTAAGAGATATTACCATGTTTAAAGATGTATCAATTATAGCCATTTTAAATGATAAGAGATGCCTGAAGTGGTACAACCTGCTTTAACTGTGATTTAGTTGATGTGTGTTAAAAACTTATTTCAGCCCCATATCTTTGGTAAAGAAGAAAAATACATCCTTTGTATTTTTTAGGTCAGAATTTGCACAATGTTTTAAGATCTTGTAACATGTACATATTCAATAAAAAGAATTGTTTTGAATATTTCAATTGATTTCTGTCACATTTTGAAAGATCAAACTTCAGTGTTTGGTGTGTAAACTGTGATTAAGAAATGGATACATATAAAACTATGAAGTTTGCAGTTGTAACATTTATGTGTGATGTAAATTGCTTATGCATATATACATGTACATGTAGCTATCGTAGATGTATTATTATTAATAATGTATGTTGCTGTTTTAGGAATGATGGGAAACCAGCCAGGAATGGCAGGGTTACAACAGGGAATGCAAAACATGTCCATTAACCAGGGCAATATGATGGGACAGCCAATGATGGGGCAGCCCAGACCAATGGTTGGACAAATGGGTAAGCAAAGAGGGAGGTGGTATTGGGTCAGGCATAGATAGACTGAACAGATATTGATTTGGTACAGTGTAAAAAGCAGAAAACAAGATTTAGTTCATGTGTTTGGTTGTTACTTCTGCTCCAATTTATTGTTAAAGTCTGGGCTCTGATTGTAAATTCATTAGGGCCCTGCTCTGTGGTTGCCATTTAGTGATCAGTCTGTATGTCTGATATCACTTGTCTGGAATATATTTTTTTCTTGTTTTAGTCCCATCTTGCTCCAAATCCACACATGCATGTTTGTACACTGAACCAGATTCTGTGTAACATCTTTGTCTGGAGCATATTTTCTCCCTAGCCTTATCTGGCTTATATTTCACATATTGAGTAGTTTGTGAGTAAAAGGTGTGTAGTGACTTAAAACCAAGTCTCTAGGTCGGAGGTAAGGTCATATCAGATCTCTGTGTGAAAGGGTCCTCTCGAAAAACAATCCTTTTCTGCCCAATGTCCTTCACCTAACTAAAACCGAGTCCCTTTGGGATGCTTATTATCTTAATGATATATAGTTTACATGAATTATTATATTTTCAGGAATGTCTGTTGGAATGCAAGGAAGTATGGGGATGCAGACAGGAATGGGAAATATGCCTAGTGGATCTATGGGAATGCAAAGTAAAATGATGGGACAAAGTCAGTTTCAGCAAAGAACTGATGCAGCATTTAGTTCATTTGGTAACTTTGGGAAAAAATAACGAGGAAAAAGGAAGGGGCATTTTATCCTTTGGATTCTTATAAAATGAGACAGAAATCTCCAACATTCTTAAAAAAAAAATAAACATTCTGGAGACCCGAGGACAATGGAGAACTTTCCATTTCTTGTTTTCAGCAGTGCTGTAATTTGACATCTCTGTTAACACATGTATTTCTGTGAAATAGAAGTTTGTATTTCTTTCAAGGAATTGAACAGCAGTGTGGATCAAGTAAATTTTAATTTAAGTGAAAAATGTTGAATTCTTTTTTTTTATATTGATCATATGTGCAATATTTTTGTATATCAAAATCGGGTCCAAAACTTCGGAGATTGATATTTATGAAAGAAAAAAAATATTCACTTATTATGTAACTCAAGAACCATAACGATGTGAACTCCATCCCACAGTAGATGTGATTAACTACATATGTAATTAATATTTTCAATCTTACATAGATGTCTATTAAGAACTAACAATACAGGCCAAAATTGTTCTTATTATGACAGCATTCTCAAATTGTAAAAAAAATCAAATAAGAAAAAAAATCTTAAAACTTTCATCAGGTTGTGAGAAAAAAGAAACATCTAATGTTATGAAAGATCTTTTCTGTTATGTAATGTGAGATCTGCATAAATTTATTGTCAATTTTCTTTCACGAGATGCTTCATCCTTTTACTGTACTTTTATTGAAACATCATTTAACTAGTATATTCCCCTAGTTACTAACATATAAAAGTATATGTATTTAAAAATTTTAATGCTTATCATGCTATTGGATTTTTTAACAATGTCCAGATTGTCATATAAATTTAAACATTATCTGGATTCAGATTTTGATTGATTGTATACACTGTTCTAAATTGTCTCCCCATTTCACAGTAAAATATTTTGCCTTATAAAATTCATGAAGAGTTATCTCAACATTATCCATCAAAAATTCTTCAAAAAGAAAATGCATCAAATATATCACATGGAAGAACATATCATGGTGTTGGACAGAGGAGATATTTGTATATTGTGATAGGCTTCTGCAACATTCCACTGTATCTAGATGCATTGAAAACCTTGCTCAGATCAACTGCTAGTTTACAGCAGCATTTGCTTTGATTGGAAGGATATTAACTTTTTTGTACAATCATCTTGCTGATACAAAAATTCATTGCATTATTATGTTTAACATCAGACAAGTGCTATGAGTGAAGTATGCTGATACAGGTTTAAAATCATTCTACAATATACATGTACTAGCATGCATTATCATATGGGTCCAAATACTACATATTTCAGATGTATAAAAAGGTTTGTTAACATGAAGTTTCTTTTAGTAGCTGGTGATGTAGAAAGGATTGAATGAAATATTAGAAATAAAATCTGTTATAAGAAATATACATGTAAATGTAGCAATTGCAAAGATCTCTAGTGAATATTTAACAAAAGACAATTGTAAAGCTGTTTCTTAAAATATATAGGCATAATTGTTATTCTTCGTCATTAAAAGCTTGGGTTTTCTGATTTTTAAATCGGTAAACTTGAGAAATGATTTTATTTCTTAAGATATTTAATGTATATTTAAATTACTCATATTGTTAATTGTTGATGTGTGATTTTGATTTAAATGAAATATAATTTTTAAGCGTAACTTGTTACATATTGATATTTACTTGTGTGACTGTATTGCATATTGTGTTTAATGTGAAAAGCATGAGTGAATTTGTACATATATATACTGTTGTATACAAGACGCAGTATTATAATAAAGGAGTAAAAATGTCTTCTCAAATTCATTGTTTCTTACTTTCATAAGATGGAAAATTTTCTTCTATCTAATAATTTTTTTCCCCTTTGAGTGTTGCATTTTAAAGAAGCAAATATATTTGTTATTAATAGAAAAGACAACCATGCATGTTCATGATTTTGGAGTACCAGTAATTAATACAAGAACCCTGAATTTAATACACTGTAAATTTATATTTCCTAAGGGTGTTAGAAAACATTTATATTATTCTCAACAATTTGAGAACATTTTCTCATGCAGTACCATGCAGACACAACGGTGTTGGGAGAGGATTTGGACTTCTTAGGGTTTTAGTTGGTGTACAACTGATTGAATTTATGATGTGGATGAGAATATTTCCTTAAAGGGGATTGCATGTGAAACTATCATTATATCTGCCGCAAACAAAGTTTTTTTTTGGGGGGGGGAGTACCTAGGAATTACCTTGTCTGCCTGTGCAATCGTGTCTGGGCTATATTTTTGATGGAGAGTAATAGGAAGCTCATACTTTGAACAAAGATTGTTTACGACCAGTGGGTGTGTTATAACCTTGACTAAAGGTGATTTTAGGAAGATCAAAGTCACTTGGAAAAAAGCATAAAACTTTTTCTAGTCTACAACTTCTTTTGGAGAGGCATTGGAAGTTTATACCTTATACAAAAGATTGTTGTGTCAGGACCTTGATCCAGGGTCATTTGATCAAGTTCAAGGTCACTTTTTAACAAATGTTTAATTGCTGTCCTGACCAAATCAGGTAATGGAGAACATAATTACAAATATTGCATATGACCTGAGGGTTTGTACTGACCATGACCCAAATTGATTCCAGGAAGTTCACCAGCAGAAAATGTGTACTATTCTTGTCTAGTCTTCAACACTCAAATGGAGGCTAATTGGAAGTTGATACTTGACAGGAAGATTGCTTATGACTTAAGGATGTGTCATGATCTGACCCATGGTCATTTTGGCAAGTTTAAGGTCCCTGGCAGAAAGTGTTAAACAATAACTTCTTAATGGAAAAACATTCATTTGGATGTTCATACTTAACACAAGTATAACAACTTGTGTTTGGAAGGTATGTCATGACCTTGATCATATGTCATTTTGGCAAGTTCAAGGTCACTGGCAGAAAAGGTGTAAAATTTGTGTTCATTATTCCCTAATTACCTTCCCTAATGGATGAGTATTGGACGTTGAAATTTCAGAGATTATTTGTGAGCTGAAAGTATATCATAATCTTGACCAAAAGTGAATGTGGCAAGCTCAAGGACACTGGCAAAAAAAAATATATCAAATTCATGTCAGGTCTATAATTGGGGAAACATGTATCACTCAAAGATTTCTTGTGATTAGAGGCGATATGCCCCATTTTTTTAAACAAAGGACATTTTGCCAAGTTCAAGGTCACATTTAGAAATTTGTATATGGGTACTTGAAAAATAGCAGCAGGGGGAGGGGGGGGGGGGGGAGATATATTTTTGTGAGCTTGAGTTGCTCATAGGACATCTAGATTATTCAACTTCATTGGCAAAAATCTGCCATTATATATACATGTACTGGGCATATTGATATATTTATACAGAATTGACATGAGGCTTTCTTCTGACAGTAATTTGAAATGCAAAAGGAGAATAATCTGGTTTATGTGTTGATAATCCTGATACCTTGTCAATAATCTTGAAGAAAAGTAATTGATGCAACTTTTTGTTAATAAGATGATGTCTCAGAAGTACAAAAACATTCCAAAGATCTATCAAATTATGGTTAATGTTGTGATATTCTAAAATTGTAGAAATTTTCTATTTGCATTCTATAATTTTCTACTTGTGCTCTATCATTTTCGATTTATACTGTACACTTTCTACTTGTAATCTATATTCTTTATAGATTATTTATACTGCATAATATCCAATGGTATTTTGTAATACACATTATACACTATTTGTATACTATAATGTTTCAAATTGAATGGTATGTATTGTTTGTATTTGAAAACAATCATATTTCAACATACAGATGCATTTATACAATACAAATTGAAACATTATAGAATTATACAAGTAATGAAAATAATGCAATATAAATTACAAAAAAAAAAATGGGAAATTATAGAATACAAATGGACAACTATAGAACAAAAAAAGAAAATAGAGAATTCTGAATACAAATGGAACAAAAAATAAAGAATACAAATTAAATCAGAAAATTATACAATACGATTGGGCAATTATGGAACACAAATAGAAAAATTACACAATAAAAATTGTGAAATGGGAGTGAACAATTATTGAATACAAATTATTGCTTCATTTTTTTGAACCAAAAATTTTGTTCTAAGCCAAACACTATGAAGTTTTGTGAAGTTATGTGCCAAAATGATGTTGATTCTTTGAAAAAAAATTATGTACATTTATTACTAAGATTAATAGTATGGTCTGTTCTCCCTAGCTAGCTGAATTAATCTCACCTTTTGCTTTACCCACTGTATCATATGTATATATGTTTTATATATGTACCTCATGTACCATTTACAAGGTTTTTGAGTGAATAAATTGAATTGATTTTAGATCTATGCCATTCTGGATGTATCACTCCACATGTAAATGCAACAGCTAGTATATAATAGCGAGCGCAGCGAGCGGCGCGAAGCGCCGCTCGTCACTGCGAGCTCTAACGACAACGCCTGGGCGAAGAGAAAATTCGGACTACTGCACATTCATTCAATAGAATTTTTTTCCGCAGTAATTCTGACCCACAATGCATCGCTTCTTGTTCTCGCTGCTAACTTCGTTCACGCGGTGACAACAACTAAAATTTCACAAAAAAATAAACTCACCTTAATTAATGGCTATTGCATGCAGATAGTAGATTAATTAAACGTTCTTTGTTAAAATATTTGCACTTTTTAAACTTTGTTTATGGAAATGCAGCTAACATACGACGTCATGTGACGTCACAGTCTAGACGTTCCAAATGTCTCGTGCGGTTTGAAGAGGCGGATCTTAAAATGAAGTGAACAATGCGCTCGCCCCAACGGTCGCACCGTCAACATATTAGGACTTATTGAAGCTAATTCTGGGTTTTTGAGTGAGTTGAAGGCATAAAAAGTATAATGTAACATACAGATGAAGAAAGTCCAAATAGATATATTAATCAATGATATAATTTTCATGTATAAAAATAAATTTATAAAATATATATATTACTGGAGTTTACTGTTAATTTTTTTATAAATAAAAATAAATTAAAATTTGCTAAGCATTAGGTCCCTTTACCTAGAGTACTATGCAGTATCTCTAAATTTTCGTGTCAATAAACGGAAATTTCAGGTTGATCATGATGTTTTATATAAAACACAAATCATGATTCACAATAATATGTAGAATGGGCAATATTTCAAAGAAGACGATATCTTTTATGAGTAATAGAGTGCGCACATAATGAAAATATAATCGATATTTCTTTTAAGGAAATTTAATAAACAAGATTAAGTTGATTTTCTAATTATCTTTTTAGTCTGTCTTTAGACTGATGCTATAACAGATTCGCTGACTTCTGTCCTATATTTTCACTTTGAACAAGTACATGTACAATAGCCGTGTACTGAATTGCGCTTACAACAATAACAGAGGAAATTCGAGTTTGGATAAAAAGAAGTTTCTCTAAAATTGTAAATGATCAACATTAACACCTGCTTGTTGTTATAGAAGAAAATCTGATTTACTTCAAAGAGAGAAAGATGATTTTTTAAAAAACCGCAATTGTCTCCTATCTCGAATACAGTGGATATACAAACTTGTGGAGTACGAAATGAGACCACCAAGATCGCTCCTTCCCTAGTTAAAGTACCACGAGGCAAAAGTCTCAACAATAAAATGTTACAAGTTCACTATGTTGTCATTATTACATTGTTCGGCGGTTTATTATTCCCGCCATATGACGTTCCTGACGTAGATTTTTTCCAAGTCTTAAGAACGTTTAATTCAGGTGGGGGTAACTCAGAAAATATAATTCGACAATGTCAACTGTTCACGGGAGCTTACTCTAGACAACAAATTTATGATAAACACAACATATATATTTTTAATTAATTTTATTAACATGAAATAAAACAAAAAATAGCTTCTAAGCTATGTGAAAAAGATTACATTATCAAATGTTTAAGAACATCAATTGCTACAACAGATCTACTAAGAGTTTTGTATCATTATGTCAATAAAAAAAAATATAATATGTCCATCTATGAAAATATGTCCATCTATGAAAATGTCGTTTAGCACCGGAGTATTTTCCTGGAACTTAAATGCCGCAGTCATGACGGTTTCGTATGTTTCTTCAATGCCTCATCAATTACACTTTGTGGAATTTTTGGAAGACTCTCCTCTGCAACACGAATTAATATATAATCAAAGAAAATATTTAAGATTTTCTATTATTCATTTTAAAATAAAAATCCAAAGCTAAAATCATTTCTAAATAATCTTATTCAAAGTCAATTTGGTGATAGCAGACACATCATTAGACATTTACGAATTAACTGATTAATTGACTTGACAACAAAGTCTATGAATACCATCTATATCAGGAAATAAATAAAATAAATCAATTAAAATAGCAAATCATTATTAAAACAACCGATATCTATATACACTAAAAATTGTTGATTTTAAACTAAAGCCAATGACGTAACTTAAATCAGTAAACAACGTTAACTTACCATCAATGTCGTCCATTTCGATATCGTCTATTTCATTGTAAGTGTCTGGCGCATTCGGGTCAAGTCTTTTTTCGTGTTCTTTCAACAAAATCTTTTTTGATGGATCTGGAGGATTTCCTTTCGCTGGTTTTGGTGTTTCTGTTTTGACCGTCTCAGGTTTCTTTATTTCTTCAGCCATGTTCTGTAATTAATAAACACAACATAATCACTGAATAATCTTTCTGCAGTGTGCTTATTGCGTTTGTTCTAAAAATTAAGAAAAAAAATCCCACAATAAACAAACGCAGAAATAAAACTTCATCATGCGAATTCTTTGGGAAATCCCAGTTTGTAAAATACAAATCACACTAGCCTAGTTAAATAAAAACCAATAAACATAATTATTTCGCTTACTATGAAAGGGATTTTGGACAACGTCCAAAAAGTAGCGATTGCACATTAAAATTTAAATGTAGACCAATGTATGAAGTTTGCATTTAAAAAAAAATGTGAATAAAAAGAATAAAAGGCTTTATGTAAACAGGTAGATAAAATGACACGCACTATGAAATAATCGACCTCTGCGAGGATAAATGAACAACGCCTACTTTGTCAAAGTGCTTTAAAACAGTTGCATGACAAAGTTAACAATAGTTACACACAGCCCATCCTAATTTCATAAAACTAGTCAATAACAACACCGCTCACCGCTTTCAGGAAATGAAAAATGGATTTCCATGAACCTGGCCTAAATACTTTTATCTGAGCGTGTTGATATTTTTAGACAGGCATTAAGTCATGTTAAACAAGAAGATAGAAGTGCTGTTCAGCGTTATAATTAGACAGACGGTACTAAGGGTTTTCCAATATAAGCGATGTTTTTTTTAGAGAAATAGTCATAAAGATTTCCTTGAATATAAATAAATTACATTATTAGACATGATGAAAAATGTCAAAAAGGATATAACCACAGGCATAAAGAAGAAATACAAAGATTTTTTCCTCCTGTTTTCCACATTTAAAAATGCGATGTTTTCAGACCAATCTGTCGTTTTACCCCCCAGAATAAAGAGAAATGAAATTCACATTAACAGGGACATTGTGATTTTTCTTTGTCTTGAAAAGGGGGGGGGGGGCTATAGCAAAATGAAAGATCCTACATAAATGAAGATTTCTAGCATAGTGTCTTTTAAACTATTATCTCTGTAACCCTGCACATGTAAAAGAAAAGAAGAAAATGTATGCCTGGACCGGGAATCGAACCCAGAACCCCTGCATCGCTAGTCAGGTACTACCCAGGCTGATATCCACTGCTCAAAAGTACATACATATATGTACAATGTAATAAAGTAGATGTCACCGAAAAGAAGACAAAACTTTATTTCTTACAAGCCTCTAACATTTTCTAAACTTCTCTGATCATTTTTAATAAACAAAAATAATACTGCATTCTTTTATGTTCTAAGAATATATAATGAAAGATTTTCTGTCTTACTTCTAATAAAAACAAGATCGTTGAAAACGTCATTCATACCATGCGCATGCTTGATCTACGTGGCCCAAATGTTTAGCCTAAAAAGCTAATAACCCAAAGTAATTCCTCCATATTGACTCAAACGATTCCGACAAAATGTCACGTGGTGATTTTTCCCATTTTGACGACATTGACTGTGGCAAAAGTATTAAGGACGAAGAACACTATAATGAGAATTGCAGTTGCAAGAAAAAGAAAGTGAAGCGCAATGGCCGCACTGTCTTTGTTTGGTACAGAATCTGCTATTGTGGATATCATACAGATAGAACATCTGAGTATAACAGAGCAGAAATACCAGACAACCCACCGAAAGATGGAATAGACATCCACTACAATGAAAGCTGTTATTATAGAACTGAGAAACATCGAGGCTGCATCTGGAACTCCTATAAATTTGTTCTCTACTGTTACTGTCAAAGAAGGTCCGCACAAAATGCACAACGGTAAATATATAAAAAGATATCAAAAGAATTGAGTTTACTATTTGGGTTTGTTATATTAAAATTAATATAAACATCTATCGTGGATTACGTTTCACATCATGCACTCTTCAAGCCTGATTCTGTACATGGGTAGGAAATTAGCATGTTTAAATTACTATTCACAGAGACCTTGCATACACTTTGTTTGGATACTGAAATTAGATGTGCTGTATTTTTGAAAAGAAAAATCCACTATCAAAAGCTTTATTACAACATTTGAAATAAAATGTTCTTTCTTATTAATTCTCACTGGATTATTTTTATTATTTTTTTTTTACAGATGAAGACGGATAAATATTCGCAGTACTGAGAATGTAAAATTTGTTAATAAATCTTTTTTGTACATCCAATTTTCTCTTCATTTCTTTGTAATCTGTACACCGACAAAAAGGTATATGAGAGTATGACCAATACATCCGAAAACTGTCGGTATTTTTGGTATTTATTTTGGACATACATGTATGCTCACACAAACTTGAGGATACACTGTAGATAAATATTCCTCTAAAAGAAAAAAATATGCAGGTGAATTAAAGATAAAAGTCTTTATAGAAAGTAGAAGCTGTTGGGCAAAATATACAAACAAATACCTGATTAATACTTTTATAGAAACATTACTCAAAATGATTAGATGTCAATAAAATATAAAAAAAAAAATCCATTAAAAAGCTTCGATCTGTATTAAAATAACCACTACGTACTTAGAAATTGTTGCGCATGCGTTCATATATTAACCCATCTATAAAATGTAACAATTGCGCCTTAATGAAACCTACACGATAGTTCAAACATGGCAGGGGAATACAATGACTTCACCGACCACTTTCAAGCCAAATCAATCCTCTCTAAACAAACCATGGATGGCGAAATTCATCAACAGACAAAATGCCAGTGCACACGCCGTGCTCTATATTACAATGGACGAAAATATTACGTATTCTACAGACGATGTTACTGTTATGATTATCAAGACAGATCAGAAGAATTTGATATCACCCCCGAAAATTCCTCATTACCGCACAACCAATTAAATGAAGACGGTATAGACATCCACCAATTTTCAGACTGCAAATATGTTTATCAAATGCAATGGGTGCATGGAAGGCAGGCGAAAATATTTCGACTACATTGCAGCTGCAAGACAACAGCAAGGAGAAATATGGTCCGTTAAATTGTAAGTGTAAAATATACTCACTTATTTGAGAAGAATTCGGTTACACTCCCTACACGCTCATGAAAACAGGAAACTGATATTTAAAGTTCTTTCTCGAGATTAATGTAGTGTGTGTATATGAATGACTGTGTATGAACAAACAGCTTGGAAGCTTTTAATCGATTCTCAATTATCATTTCAGGAAGAAGATGACCAATGTTTCGGAGAAAAAAATGTATTTCTGACTTAATAAACCATTCACCCAAAATAAGGTTGCTTTTTTTCTTTATATACCAAGAGGCATAAAAGATAAGCGTTTCATGTGCTGTATGTGCATTAGTACTTATCAGTCCATTATCTTTATAATGTCGAATGACAGTGAAGTGAGTGCACACATTTGTTTGCCCCGTTTCAATATGCATTTATAAAATGGCGTATTGTTTATATTATGCTTTCAAAACATACAAAATATATAGGAAAAACTTTTAATGAAGATTTAAAGAAAAAAATTATATATGTGTTGCTCAACTCATTCAAAAAAAAAAAATGTCAACAGAATTTCAACACAACACATAAATTTCTTCCCCCTTTTTTTTTTAAAGAGGAACGGCAAGTTTTCGTTCCACTGAGAGATATATTTTAAATATTCGAATCTACTAATAAGTAGATCAGAAAAATCCTCGCATCGTATTTAATTTTTTTTAAAAAGACTTCCTGTAATATTTTAAACGTCAGATCTCATATTACAAAAGATCGACGCATGCGTATTTCTAAGCATCTAAAGTATAAAACACAACAATCCTACTTCTATTATTCCCATTGACAATTGCTTTCTCTAAACTGAAAAATCTCAGTATGTCGGATTTTGTGGATAGTAAAGATATTAAGAAAGAATATAGAGAAGATCACCATGATAGTGAATGCAAAATAAAGGTACTAAAAATTCCGAAGATAAAAGGACAGAATAAATACAAGGTATTTTATAAAATCTGCAAGTGCAGCAGAGATTTACCTAACAGATTACCGGAATACAGAATGGCAAAAGAAGAAAAAGTGTTACCAGAGAGCCAAGACGGACTTAAAGGAATAGAGATACATAGTAAAGAAGAGTGTTCGTTTACAATAATTAAGGAGCGACAAGAAGGATGCAAGGTTTTCGTCATACATGTAGAGTGCTACTGTGGGGAGATTGCAAGTAGGACCGCTGCTAGATGATTTACCAAAATTAAGACTTTAAAATCCCACGTTTTAAGAAAGAGAAAAGAACATTTCAATAATTTTAAACATAAAACTATTTTACTGTAAAATCGAAAGATATCTTGTGGATTGATTTGAATTATTAATCTAAAAGATGCTAATTTTTTTTTATACAATTCTAATGAAAAACATTTAGTGTTTTATTTTGTTGACATCGATAAGTAGACTCTTAATCAACACGCTTGATTTAAAACAAATGTGATTTTAGCTTCAATAAACACAACAATACACAAATCTTGTGTATGTGGTTTTTTGGTTTTAAACATGATATAAGATTGCCTTTTTTAAGTGTGGGAAAACTTTATCACTACAACTTTTTTTTCTTGTATGAATAAGATTTGTTGTGCAGAAATATTTTAACAATGTTTCAATGAAATCATTCTATCAAATAATTATTACTTAAAAAGAAAACCTTAAAGTTAATCACACCAAATTAAATAAAAAGTCAAGTCTAAACATACAAAATGTTATCAGATATCATGTCTGAACAATATCTACATTGAATGCTGGTGATTTAAACTTCAAGCGTCAAAGCTAAAATGCAACCACAGGTAAAGCGATCTGTATATACAGCACTTGTGCAGTTAGAGCAAAAGCTTTTAAAGTATTCATGTGTAATCTTAAATAAGCTACACTGTACATAAATATCGGATAAATATTACTTTAGAAACTAAAAAAAAATCATAAAGGATGTTCATTGATTCCATAAAACGCACGATATGACAAGGAACTCAAATATTGCTATATCTCTACCTATCCCAGGGAACTTCATGACCGCTTTATTTAAATTGCAACTCACTATTACAGAAAAAAAACTATTTGTTTATCGATTTCCCAAGCCTCACGTTACCATAGGGAGTCACGCATCTGTAGAGCACCACAATAAGCTCTATTTTAAGAACAAAAAAATCCCAATATGAGTCACGAGAGTTCCAAGACAATACCCAATTTATTACATCATATTTATAAACTTATACGTCGATTAAAAAATTACCATGGAAAATTTGTCTTAGAAGTATAAAAGGCAAAATCCAAACTCAAAAATTAGTTAACTTGTCTACATTGCAAAGATGGACAGGTACGACATATCAGAAATAGATTTAATATCAGGAAGCGATGGTGTTGAAGAAGAAAGACACTATAGCGATACGTGTTGTCCGGTTATGACAAATGGCACCTACAGAAGAGGTTTAGTGCCTATTGCTAAAGTCGTTGGCTACTTCAGAAACTGTAAGTGTGGCAAATATAATGAAGCCCAATGTGAAAAAGTTTTGGAACAATTTTATAGATCTTCAGTACCATTACCTACCGAAGGCGTTGACATTCATAGAAACAATCAGTGTTTTTATTCCGAAGAACCAAAAGTTGTATTTATTAAGGAAAACGGAAAACAGAGGAAGGTTTACATTTATCCTCTGACCTGTGTATGTAAAACACGAGCAAAGACGTTTGGCTATTTACGTTAATGGAAGTCTATGGAGAAATCACGAAAGGTAAGAAACGATAGACGGGCAAAATAATTTTGAAATATCAGTTAACTTCTACTGAAAGAATGGAGTTCAAAAGAAGAACACACACTTGTTCAGGAAAAGTGCTTCAAATTTATCCACCTTGAGTATATGTTCGTAAGCCTTATAATCGATAAAAACAAGAGTGTACTCTTTCTTGACTTCGCTGTGATGTTCGAGTACTTTGGGGATAGTTGTGTTCATGTAAATGAATCCCTAAATGCAAAATAGACTTTATCGTGTTTAAAACGCCGTTCTGATTGAGTAAGGAACATGTATTAATTTTTTGTCTGTATTTTTTACTAAAATGTACAAATTCAAATAGAGAATGCTCATTCAAATTTTATATTAGAAAATGATTGTTAATTAAAAAATTACCCCGGTATCACAGAGATGTTTGGCAAACCTCACATGTTATTATTTTGCCAACAGATATACATTTAAGAAAATAAAAATCATCAAGGACCGATTTCTCGTAAATGTGGCAAAACGTAAATCTTACAGTTTATTGTAAAATCCAAGTTAGTAATTAAGATTTCTTTGAATCTATATATCTTTCACCTAAATACTATACGATATATACACTATATATATAGTATATACACTAACATGATGATCTAATGTGTTTCAAATTCCTTTCTTTATTGCAGGTTGTCCTGGACATAGCAGTTTGAGCATCATTGTCACTGTGAACGTGTTTGAAGAACCTGCTGCAAAATCATGTGAAGAGAACAAAGATTTTCACCTGAACAACAAATCAATGACAGAAATACATTCCATTATATATCCAAAATAAGATTCATCTATTTTATTTTTAGATATTGTGTATAGTTTCTTCTCTCCTTTTTCATAGATATGAGTGTGACTGTGTGAATTTATTACTGTAAAAATATATATTCGTAACAAATTTTATGGTGTTATAAATATTCTGCTCTAATAAAACAAAAACATAACAATGGAGTTGTTTAATAATCTAAGTTTAAACAGCAATATACTGTAGAGAGAATAAAGGTATTTATTCCACTCAAAATTTAATGTCATTTGACATCTGTGAAAATTGTCAATTCTATACCAATATTGATCATTTCTACTAACTGGACGAAATGGCATAGCATGGAGGTACAAAGTTTTGTTATCAATCATGAGATAAGATGAAACTCAATCCATCTTTTAAAATTTGAAGTAATAATATGTAGAAGGAGAAAATCCATATTTTTTTGCTTTTAGTGTATTTCGTAACAGGTCGTATAGTATGATACCCGAACGTATTTTTTCAAACAAAAGTTAAAACACACACTCACACACACACATTATCAATAAAAATAATTTTTTTAATCAAATATTACAGGTAACGTCAGAATTGTCATAAAAGCAATACATTTTTGAGAGAGATAATCCATATTTTCCTTGGCCAAACAAATTTAAGAACATTATTGAATCCTCTATGATGTCTCAACAGAACTGTTCATCGATTTTTTAATGGATACATTAAATTACATGTAGGTGTCAATAGAATTTATTTTATTGTGAAGCAATAAGAACGGAGTTATATGACACTTTTTTGCTAAAAAAAAACTATTCAAAATGGCTTTTGATTTCAGATTAAGAATTATAGAATAATCTTAGCAATAATATATAAGAAAAGAAATAGTTATGTCAATCGACAGATTAAGTTACATCAAAGATATTATCCATACTTAAATGTTTTATTATAAAGATGTGGTATAAGAAATATTAATATATGCATCTAAAATTTCATTCAATTCGAATTTCGCCTACAAAAGCATTTAATAAAGGGTTGCATGGAGATTAAAAGCACAGATAGTTGTGTCAAAAATATATACATGAACATATTTATAAAATTGCCACATGTTTTGTCTTAAAAAATGCCTTTAGCTGATAGAAGAAGACTCGTAGTTAAAAATCGTAAAGCATATTTAATTCCTAGATAGTATTTTATATGGAAAGAAATTGTAATTTAAAAAAAACATACGAAAACACAATGGAAGTCATACGATGATTGCATGTCGAAAAACGTCTAATTCATAAAAAACCCCTGAACATTCTAGCTATTTAAATCAGTTGAGTACATTAATATTCTTGTGTGTGTGTGTGTGTGTGTGTGTGTGTGTGTGTTTTAAATTTCATTCCTATGAATATGAAGTATACTTAATTATTGAGGTTTCATGTGGTTTTGTCTGTCTTGAATTCAGTAGATAAACAGTAACAAGAAACAGGATCATTGGTGAGAAATATGACTAAACAAAATTATATACGGTAAAGTGAAATTGTATTTGATATGAAGACTAATTTTAACTTAGAAGATGTACAAAATATTCACAAATTTATGAAGTTCATTATTCATTCATATGAAGTTATGAAAAGTGCATAAGGGAATATATTACAAAAGTAAATGAACCTTACAAATGAAGCTGGCCTATTTACAATAGTTCTGTGTACACAAGTATATGTTTGAGTAATTCTTGTGTGAAAATTTAATATCATC